TGCTGAGCGTCAAGCGAGGCAGCTGTTAGTACCATTTTTGTAAGTCTTTGGTATGACTTGACCAGTGATCAAATCCACGACCTCCCACATCCGAGGTGGATGCTCTAAACAACTAGGCCACTGGAGTGGTTGAATTTTTAACCTGGAATATTGATTACAAAAACTACAAAACACCTATCCATTTGAGTCAATGAATTCAAGCCAAAGATAATTATCAACCAGATGTGGCTGAACATAATTTTATCTCTTATCTCTGTCATATTTAATATATTTTGCTGCCACCGAGTCTGGCTTATGTCTCTTTGGAGGAATAGTTACCTAAGACTCAGTGGAAGCAACTTAAATATGCATTTTCCTTTTTAAATCATCCTTGTGACCTTCCTTGAGAAAATTATTCAGGAAACTTATTTTATCCATATAGGAAGATCACCTCATTTGACAACTACTTATGCTAAGTGATTATAACATATTTTGTTGTTCAAATGCAAACATAAAACAGCTGTTTTAGCTTAAAATGTTCTAGAAGGAATTTGTTTACTAATTTGATGGGAAAATGACATACATTCTGGTTCTGTTATCATGAGATATCTTTTTTATATTAATGCTGTTTACTTTAAAATTACTCATTCCTGCCTTAACATTTGAGGTGGGCTCAACCAACTTGAATGAAATTTCTTATCTACTCTCACTATTGAGTAATCCAGATGTGGAAATTTATTATAATGTATTGGAGTCTAAGGCTTTACCATTGATTTAGGCATACCTTACAAAAACTTGTCCTTAAAAACCACATTTTTTTTCTTCTCAGTACAGCCTAAATAATATCACCATTACCCAACAGAATAACTGATAGTGTCAGAAGTTCAAGTCACAGTGTGACTGACAATAAGTGCAAACAACAAAAGATGCATAACATTTCATAACCTTACTGATGACAGACTTAAAGACTAACTTTCATCTCTGTTGTATCTGTTTAGTCTGGCTGAATATCACTGATATCCATGTACAATACCCTCAACAATTTTAAGAAGGAAATAGTCTTCATGCAGAAAAACTAAAACATACTGGCACTAGTGAACTTTGTATTGGTGGCTAGTAAATCAATTCATGCTAAAATGATAGCATCTTGGGACTGCTACAGCAAAAGGCCTTGAGGAGATCAGTGACTTTGCAAAATGGGTCATTTCTAAAGTATTCACCCCATCTCAAACTATGACTCATCCAACACACATCTGGATGAAGCCAGTAAAAAGTAAAAGATATTTTATGATTAAAACAACAATTAAAGTATACACTACTTTAATAGATTCAACCACACAAATATGAATAATAATAATGAAGCTCCCATTTTGTTTGAAACATAAACATGACAGTGTGATGGATGCCCTGGTGACAACCAAGTTAGAAATAATAAATTGATAAGTGATATTACCACGCTCTGTGGATTTTGTTTATATCAATGAGGCATTTCATTTTTAAAATTGGTACTGGGAACTGCTACAGGAGTAGGTGATTATAGCCTCACAGGATCGGTTTTTAAGAACTTAAGAACAAATCACGGAAAAATTCATAAATAATGTAAATTTATTACAAGTTCATTTATGCTCTGAATCATTACACATGTAACAAAATTCAAAACTTAAACTATTCATGGTGCCAGACATTTGTTCCATGATGATTTTTTTTTTTTATGAGTAACACATTTTGCTTTACTTGTTTATATCATCTGTTTTGGAGTGGTTGATCATAGTGCTTCTCATGGACATCACTGAGATGAGAAAAGAAATGTATGATCAAAGAAAATGGCAACAGTGGTGAATATAACAATAATATTAATATGAATTAATAGTTTCTTCTTAACATATATGTATGTTTTTGCTCAAGCTTTTTGGTCATAACAATGATGCAGTTTTCTACCATTCTGAAAATCATACCAATGGCATGTAATGCATTTATGACATGGCTAGAAATGTTTAATACTACTTTGTTATAAAATTATGTAAATATGTGTGTGTGTGTGTGTGTGTGTGTGTGTGTGTGTGCAATTAGGATTTTTAACGTAGTTTTAACAATTGTTCAGTCAAATATTGCTATAAGGTCCACAATGTGACAATTTATGGTGATATCTAGCACAAGGGCATCATGCCTAGTCCCATTATCCTGACACCACGCTGACCAGATCTAATGCTAACGTCTTAATCTGAGCACATAATGAGGCAGCTGCTAGTGCCATTTTTATGTCTTTGGTATGACTCAGCCAGATTTTGAACCTGCAAAATCCCGCATCTGAGGCAGATGCTCTAAACACTATGCCACCAGAGCGGTCATGGACCAAGATATAAATATTTATCTTTTTAAAACAATATAATAATTTCAATATATCAGATTACTTTTTTCTTTATTCAATATTGGAAATGAATGAAAAAAAAATGTCATTAAATTCAACAAAAATAAATTAACAATTATATAATTAATGGAATTCTAACGTGTAAACAAAATGTGAAATGGGTGGAAATAAGAAGTCACTGATTTTACTGATTAGACAGTCAACAACAAACAATTTGCATCAAGGGTTTCAAATCATTGACATTATCTACAAAAAATGTGTTTTGAATGGGTACAAAAGTGTATTAGGCAATTAATAGTTTTTTTGGGTCGTTGTATGCATAATGTTTATACTTATGGGATTTAGACATGTTCATAGCATTTTTATTACTTGCAACAAAGTCTTCATCAGTTATATGTTATGACGTGTTATCAATAAAATAAAATGATCGCTCCGAAGCCATATGACCGTTCCGAAACCATATGACGCTCCGAAACTGATGTCACAATGATACTAAAAATAAGGAGTATTGATCGACGAGTGGCCAAATAATTAAACAATTGCCATTCGAAGGCACGAGTAAATTAATTCTCAAAACTGACGTTTTTCGAAGAAATCATGGGTACCGAACGCCTACATGATCTGTGCAACTTGTACTTGAATCCGTATCGACGACACCCAAAAATATCCATCTGCGATTGTTGACTGGCTCAAAATAAATAACACAGGAAGTAGTCCACTGTCCTAAATTCACATAAATTATCTTCGTTCAAAATATTATATGGGTTAGGGAATGTGGATGATTTACCTCTCCCCCGAATAAATCAAAACACCTCCGTTCGCGTGTGCTGTATTAATTGACATCTTCACTTACTGTTTACAACTCTAGAAAATGATAGAAATGACGTATTAGACGTTTAGAAGATATCCAAATGATATGAATCCTGTTTTAGACTGGTTTACAAACAGTTTTATCCAAATATGCATTTGGATCTTATGATAGAATTTTTTATATAGACCGGACAAACCACTGTCAGAAAGGATAAATTGACAGGTCAATGGACTTTCCAATAATGCTGCTTGCTGATATATTTCCTATCAAATGTACAAGGTGATATCTAGTGCAGTTGCATATATGTATATAATGTAAATAAGAGTATCATAATGGCAATAATTAATAATGAAAGAGACATAAATGTTTTTGATAAATGTTGTCAAGCAACATGGTTTTACTGTCTGCATAGCAGTTGACATAAAATATAACAAGATACCCGCCAATCTGTCAGGATCAGCTGTTCATATCAGCAAATCACTTAGCTGTACATACAGTCGGGTATATAATGGTTCATGCCATCATAAATGATGTCTAATAAAACGGAGAATTGCAGCCCTTCCCCCATAATGATTTAATTTTTTTTTTTTTATGTAAGTGTGGACACCTCTTGAAACTGGCAGTGATAAACAGCAGGTCTGTGAGATGACCACATTTGATAGAAAAGTTAAAAAGTTTTTTATATATCCGTTTGTTCCCTTGCCCCTTTCTGTATATGGGTATTTTTCAAAGAGTTAAAAGGATTTATCAAGAAATGTGTATTTTAGATATTTTTTTTATTTGAGGTCCTCATTCTTTTTGATAGATTCTCATTGCCATGTTTCCATTTGTTCAGTCCCCAAGCATAAATTTTTATGTAAAAAAACTGGCTTGTAGTCCCAAAGGCATTGTTCTTTATAGCTGGTTTTTTCACTTTGTAACGTTATTGTTGTTTTGGGTTTAACTCCAGTTCTCATTGAGAGTGAGGCTATACATGACAGCTAGGATAACTGGTGGAGGAAGAACCTTGGAAAACACTGGTAAGAACCACTAGCTCTCTGGAAGCTAATGGCAAACTTTCTCACATGCCCATGATTTTCTGAGCCCAAGACTGAAACTCATGTGGACACCTCGTAAGAAGCATATGCCTTTTGTTTTGTCTGTGGAGAGATTTGTTAATATTGTTAGGCTTACATTAGTTTGAATATTTTCTGTTTTTATCACTTTTTGTCAGGTGTAATTTGATACATGTATTTTTTTTGATTGGACATGTTTTGACCCAAGTTTGTGTCAAATTATTCCAGCATGAAGTGGTGATGGTTGGGTCATGCCTTGGGCACCATCCGTCTAATGGGAATGATATACCCTTCTTCTCCCCTCCCAGAGGCTATTCTTTGTTTTTACATGCCAACCATTATGGTTTTGGCTTAATCATTACGCTTTTTTTACCAAAATACACTTTTGCAAGACTGTATATGGATTACACATTTCTGCTGCATTAAAAAATAAAGCAATAAAAATTGTTTTTGTCATTTATTATCATCTCCTTAATTCTACTCATATAAATTTGATAATATTCTTGAATAAAGTGACTGCTGCACAAGAATAGCATAAGAAATATTTTCCTTATTTGCTATTTGAAGCAACTGTCTTTGACCCAGAAAACTTGTAGTCTTTTTCTAGTGTTTCACTAATTTAACATTTATCAGACTGCTTCCTTTATTCTTCTAAGTATATATGTTTTATTTTGACTTGGAAATTTTTCTCTAATTAGCACAATTATATTAGAAAGTTTATCTCTTTATTAAAGTCCATTGATCTTATAATTGTTAATATCTAGTTTAAATCTCCCCCAAGCAAAACTCTTGTGGCTTAAGTGGTTAAAGCATCTGCCTTGGATGTGGGAGGTCACAGGTTCAAACCCTGGCCAAATCATACTAGCAGCTGCCTCCCATGATGCTCAGCATTAAGAGATTAGTGTTAGGACTAGTCAGCCTAATGTCAGGATAATATGACTAGGCATGATGGCCCTGTGCTAGACAACACTATTAATTGCTACACTGCAGAAATTGTAGCATTATGAATGGAAAATGGTTATAAAGATATGTTAAAAAATCCAATTATACACACCTATTACACACATTATCTTCCTAATAATTGCAGTTTTTTGTAATATTTGTTAATATTTTCAGATTTGTGAGAATAACTTTGGATTATAAACATACATGTATATGTTTCAGATGACATAACTTATATAATTCAGTGTCACTTCAAACAACAGATCAGCTTCTATATTTGGCCAGGATTATGTACGAATATTGTTAGCAAAATTATTGTTATCCATTCTTCCCCCCTTTTTTTTTATTATTTTGTGTATTAAATATAGAACTCAATTCATGTTTTATAGCTGTAATTTTTTTGTGATATGTTTGCTTTCTAGTTTAAATATACAAAATGGTGATATTTTTAACATTTTTATCGCCTTACCTAATTTGTTTTTGTTATTCCATTTATATTCTAAGAAATAATCATATATTCAGGGTCCATTTTTTCCCTTTACTATCAACTATCTATCAGTTTCCTGTCTTATTGTCCTAATATCACTAATATCCTTATTTCCACTCCAAATTATTTCTAGAAACCTCTGAGATTTGAATATTTATTTTCTCACTTCATTTTAGTTTTGCCAATTTAATTTTGTTTTATTGTAGTTTTGTTTGCATTCTGGTCTGGCTCCTAATTTTTCTGGGTTTTTTTAGGTGGCGCTCTACAGTTTCGTATTTAGCATAGGGTTAAAATTTTAAAGAAAAAGAGTTTCCCCGGGTTTCCTCACTAGTTATACTGGTTATTTAAAAGAGACTTTGTATATCTTAGGTGTTGTTCAAAGAACCTTTAATTCCCTTTATTTTGATGTATGATTGATAGGTGTAATATGGGTTAGAGAATATACAGCTTGGCCTTACTCCAGATGTGCATCTTTCAAAAAAGTGCTAGCTCTACTTGCTCATTTTCACTTCTCGAACTTCAGAGGTAAATTGTAAAAAAAAAGAGCCAATAACTTTTTTTACATTTTATGTATTTGGTAATTCAGTTATTGCACTTTTAGAAGCTGGTATTATCTAGTTTGGCAAAATTCATTTTCCATATTTTAATAGCTGCCAAGAATAGTGTACTTTAGACAAATTTAGGTTGATTTTTGGAGCACAAGGGAGCAGTCATTTTAGTTAGCAGTGTCCTAAGCTCATGTTAAATTTCCAAAAGTACAATATCCAAAGAAATTTCATCCACATTACATGAAAGTAGTATATAGGTATGCCAACATTCTCTGCACTGTGCATGTTTAAAATGCAAACAACTTCACCTTACATACATCACTCTCTCAAAAGTACATAATAACTGGTGAGCGCCACCATAAAGAGAATATAGGTATTATTATTGTATGATTTAATTTTGATTGTACGACTGAAATATTTAAGTCGCAAGCATCAAAACAGTCCTTTGTAATAATTGTCATGTATTTCCCCCCTCAGAACAGCATTTATTAGAGTCAGAGTCTTAAACCGGTACAGCCCCCCCTCCTTATGATTAAAAAGTGAACTATTTTAAAAATGCGCATTGCATTTTGTCAACATAGCAACCAGTGTTATGCTGATAGACAGGAACATGAAACTAGCCATATTTATTCCTGAGATGTCAACAATAAATGTTACAGTTATAAAAGGGATATAACAGGTGAGGTTCATAAAGGTCAAAGGTCAAAGGGTAAATATTAACTAATTCTTTGATATGGAAGAAAGCAAATTCTCTTTGTTATCATTTATTTTTTAATTTCATTGCAAATAAATGAAATAAAACATTTTCACTATGGATTTCTTTTACTTAATGCAACATTTTTCAATTTAAGTTGACTTTATTCCTATATTCTAAGACTTCTAATTTCCCCATAATGAAGGTCACTACTCACCCAAACATGCCTCATATCAAATTATGTATGCTAGAGCAAAAATAAGCATAATTAGCTTATTTTCATGAATAAAATCATTGTTAATGTACCATTTTACTCAGAACATCATATATAATAACATGAAAATAAGAAAAATAATTTCATAAATGTTTATATTTGTTTTTAAGGTGGCGCTCTACAGTTTCGTATTTAGCATAGGGTTAAAATTTTAAAGAAAAAGAGTTTCCCCGGGTTTCCTCACTAGTTATACTGGTTATTTAAAAGAGACTGTATATCTTAGGTGTTGTTCAAAGAACCCTTAATTCCCTTTATTTTGATGTATGATTGATAGGTGTAATATGGGTTAGAGAATATACAGCTTGGCCTTACTCCAGATGTGCATCTTTCAAAAAAGTGCTAGCTCTACTTGCTCATTTTCACTTCTCGAACTTCAGAGGTAAATTGTAAAAAAAGAGCCAATAACTTTTTTTACATTTAATGTATTTGGTAATTCAGTCATTGCACTTTTAGAAGCTGGTATTATCTAGTTTGGCAAAATTCATTTTCCATATTTTAATAGCTGCCAAGAATAGTGTTCTTTAGACAAATTTAGGTTGATTTTTGGAGCACAAGGGAGCAGTCATTTTAGTTAGCAGTGTCCTAAGCTCATGTTAAATTTCCAAAAGTACAATATCCAAAGAAATTTCATCCACATTACATGAAAGTAGTATATAGGTATGCCAACATTCTCTGCACTGTGCATGTTTAAAATGCAAACAACTTCACCTTACATACATCACTCTCTCAAAAGTACATAATAACTGATGAGCGCCACCTTATGTAGTAATTGCCTTTCTCCTTTTTTGTCTTTTTGTATTGTTTGTGAGTGTGAGTGTTTTGGGGACAGAACCTTTCAAGCTCTGGGCTTTCTCATTGACTATGTATGATCTTACCCTCTTCTTTTGATTATTGGTTGGGCACTTATTTTGGATATGAATTTGCCTATTGTGTTTTCTATTGGAATGATTTTACTTTGCTCCCTTTTGTGGCATTGTTTCTCTCTCTCTCTCTCTCTCTCTCTCTCTCTCTCTCTCTCTCTCTCTCTCTCTCTCTCTCTCTCTCTCTCTCTCTCTCTCTCTCTCTCTCTCTCTCTCTCTCTCTCTCTCTCTCTGTTCTTATTGGCTACTTTTACCAGTAGATTTCCATACTCAGGGGTCTTTCTGCCTGATTTTGCCTTTCTTCTTATCTTTCTTTTATCTTTTTCTATTTTTCATAGAGCTATAAGCAATTCTCCAATATTCTGTAACACTTGATAGACTCCATAGGTAAGTCTAGTGTAAAACATTCTTATGTCTGTGTAACCTTATAAATCTCTGAGCAGCAAAAACTTAGGCCAAACTCAGTGGTCTGCAATGTGAGAAAACTTGAAACAGTTAAACACTATGGCACACTCTTCTTTGAGTTTTTGAAGTTCTGAAGTCACAGCTCCATGTAGAATTCATATTTTAATTGCTTATTCTCAGATTTATCTCCCAATTTATCATTTTTTGTTTATTTCCTCTCTATAAAGTAATGGGACCATGGAGACCCCATTCACAGTAAGTGTGAAAAAATCTGTGAAGACAAACATGAAATGGTATTGCAAGAAATATAGACAATTGTGTATTATTTTACAAAAAAATAATCTGCTTCATGGTAGAGTAAACAACTTAAATATTTGAAGCATTTTTCATTCTTTTTCAATTTCAGCAGGAGATGGGTAGCGCTTGATTGGGTAATAAGTTTTCTGTGCTTGATAAAGTAAAGAGGTTGACATTGGACATCAAAGATGCCTTCTGATGATTCTGGATCTGCTATAAGCCCCAGGCCTGCCACAGGCAGATCCTATCAGGAATATGTACCAACACAGAATGGAGTTTTTCAAAAGCCAGAAGTTCCTGGTGGACCCAAGCTATGGCGACAGATGGTAATAGGGTTCATCTGTGCTGCCTGTGTGGGTTTTGTTATGCTAGTGTTGGGTAGTGTTTTCATTGGAGAAGCGATCAAGGGAGATAACTCTATTACCATAATGCTTTGTGTAATGGGTATAGGTAAGTATTTACATTTATGTTTAGATGTACTGGTGGTACTATATTGTTAAAAAAAAACTTTGTGAAGCTGATGTTAATTGGTTTCACCCCAATGGACTTAATGATCATATGAAAATCAGTAATATATTACTTTTCAGTATGGGATAGTTTCCTATTCAAGGATTGAAATTCCTTCATCATTGTAAAAAGAATCAATTCTTCCATGGATGAACCTCCATAGAAAAGTCTGGAAAGAATCCAGACCTAATAATAGCCATATTCGAGAGCAGTATTTCAAGCCCTACAATGGGGCATCATTTCAATATGAAGTCGCTGCACGATGGTCTCTGATGACATCATTTATAGTGTACCTCAGGTGACAAGTTGCACACATGCCTCTTCTTGTGCAGATGTTTGTAACCTTTTTAGCTGCCCAGGAAAGGCATGTGTCTAGAAAGTGGTTTCTGTGATGGACTTTGTTCTGAGACTGTTGGGAAAACCCTTGGTAGATTTGTATGCAAAAAAAACTGGACAACAGACTTAACTTTTAGCTCCCCAGTTTCAGATTAGAGAGCCGGGACAGTGGATGCTTTTGGCCTGAAATAGAATTGCCTGTTAACTTACACATTCCCATACTTAAGGATGATTCTGAAAGCGCTCAGAAAAGTCAGGACCTCAACTTTTCAGCACATCTTGGTAGCCCCTTTGTGGCCCAGTGATTGTGGTCTAATAATCTTCTTGACCTCTTGATAGACCAGCCTCAGAAGAAGTGTCTTCTCTCTCAGCATAGGGGTTTAATTCAATAGCCCAGACATTGGCTTGTCTCAAGCAATATATCTGCAGGACAAGCATTCTCAGAAAAGTTGCCGAGTGTATTGCTTAAGCCAAGAGATACTCTATATGCTGGTCTTTTATGCCAGGTTT